CCCCAAAACCCCAAAACCCCAAAACCCCAGAACGTCTTCAAATATTGATAATATATAAAAGACAAACTCATTATTATTTTATAAGATTTTTTTAATGAAGTCTCCAAAATGTCAGCATGAAGAATGCACCGAGTCTTCTGTATGCTACTTATCGGAAAACAAACTGTATCTATGTCAACATCACCACCTTGATCAATATCTGGATTATGACCCGGTTCCTCTTGTTGATGATTCTACTGTTGAAATGAATCTAAGAACAATCGAAATCTGCAGAAAAGTTTTCATAGTTTTCACTCAAATGATGAATGAAGGACAAATCCCTCTTGATGAAGAAGATCTAAGCACAACTGTGAGAGAAGAGCTGAATCATATCTTCAATAAACTAAAAGAAGCCCAAGAAACCAACAAGCACTACGAGTTATATAGGCTGCTCAATAAAACTGTAGATATTAAAGACATTTTGCAAAAAAATCAACTTTATGTTGAATTCTTGGTGACCAGAGCTTGGGATTATTCACTTTCAGCTGCCAAAGGTGAATCTCTGAAGAGTTCTGAGCTTGTTGAAATAGAGTTAAAACGCGAGTATAAGGCCACATTTGACAGGATAGCCAGAAAGTTCAGAGATTTAAGACATGGTATAGAGCAAAGACATCAAAAAGAAATCGATGAACTCAGACAAAAGAATCAGACATATAAAGAAGAAAAGAAGTCCTTGAAAAGGGAGAAGAAACAACTTATAACTGACTACAATAAGCTTTGTGACGACTACAATGAACTTGACCAAAGAACCAGACAACTTGAAATAGATGTAGCTTCTCTTAAAGAAGCGAGCAAAGAAAAAGGCGAGAAGATATCAGAGCTACAGAAGCACAATAGAGACTCTAAACAAAAGAAGAAAATCTTAAAAATAAAACTAAAGGAAGAGCAAGCTTCTCACCAAGCTAGTATTGAAGATCTTACCAAGAAAATTAATGATCTCAAAGACAATGTTAAGTCTCTCTGGGAAGATATTAAGGAAACTAAAATGAGGAATGGCAGACTTATTGAAGAGAACAAAAGAAAAGAAAGAGATTATGAGCAGATGAAGCAGTCACTACTCACCAAACTAAACCTCTCCGAGTACTCTGACCTCAGCCTCTTCTACAAAATTATCACTGGGGAGCACAAACAGATTGAACCTGAAACTATGCTGACACTTAAACTTGACAATCCCAAGCACATGGAATTTCTAAGATCCCTGAATACGAGGATGCCAGAGATTGATGGACTTAATCTTGACAACATCCCTCTGAACTGCCAAGAAGTGAAGATGTTCCTGGCCATTCATTTCCCCAACCAAGTGAGGACTTTCAATTTTAACTGTGACTCTCCTCTTAGTTCTACTTTGTCCTTTTACTTAGATGAACTGACGGAAGTAAGCCAGAGGGTCTCTGGGTGGTTGTTTATTCATAGATTTGAAGTCTCTCAGGATCAAATTGTCTATCTCTTCTCTGTCAACGGACACCAAGAGTACTTTGGGTTTAGTTGGTGCAAACTTGACCTATCTTCAGTTCCTGAATTTGGAGGAAGCCTCGCTGGGAATACGATTAAAGCATTAGGTTTGTATAGCTGAGGAGGGTCTTCATACTGCGACTGGGGCAACAATGAGTCCCACTTTGCAAACCTCATTGCTGGGCTTTCTAAAGAGGAGGATTTTAGGAAGAATCTAGGATGGATTGATATACTCGAGTGTGGAATGGAAAAGATTGAGGTAGAGAAAATTTTGATGGATAATGGCTTTGGACATGTTGAAATTGCCAGTCACTCGAAGTAGATTCTTAAACTCAAACTGCTATAAAAAGAAATTAGCTTTTATGAGGTTCATTTCTATAAGTTATATTCATGATGATAAAATAAATTCAATGAAGCTGACTACCTGTGGGGTTTTGGGGTTTTGGGGTTTTGGGG